CAACTATATCAGAAAAAATTGCCTCTGGGAGAGTAATGTCTGTTTGGTGAGAAAAATATGGCATATATAGCCTTTAGTGGAGAAAAGAGAGAGATGCTTTTAATTCGCCTTCATATAAAAGCGGATCTTAGAAACTATCTTTTAAAGCTATGGATAAAGGTATATGCATTCTAAGAACAAATTTCTTGGCTAAAGTGAGTTTAGGTCTTTTTTCGTTAGACAGCGAAAATAAAAAATAAATATTATATTGCGAACTCCACTGTTAAATCTGTAAGCTGCATCCAAAAAAAAAAAAAAAAAAAAAAAATACTAGAAAGGGCCAAAAAAAAAAAAAATCCAAGACAAAGTACACCTTGACGACGCCCAAAAATTTATATAATGATGATAATTAATGTTTCCTTATTTAAACTTTTTTCATCATATGATTCTAAAATTTAAATTTTGTAGCTATAGAGATACATAAAACGACTGGTTCATCAAAAAAGTCAAGTGAGCTTACTTTCAAAAAGACTTATTTTTTAAAAAACTGTTAAATATATCGAAGTATTTCATGTAATTGAAAGCTAAGAATGATTGGTCTTAAGTGTTTCATCTGGCCAACGTGATTTGATTTGGTGTTTGTTTACACCAGTTTTCAAAATTGTGTTCGATCTCTCGCTAGGACCGCTGGAATTACTAAAATGTAAATGGCTGTTTCAAGTCTTTGCCATAATTTCTGGAAATCATTCTTGTGCAGTAGAATTTCGGAATTTATTGATAAAGGAATTAAATATCATAATTGTAATTATTCGGAAACTAGGATTATTCTAGTGTATTATTTTGTTATTTTTGTTATTTATTACTTTGTTCCTTTATTATTTGATTTAATAGGGGTTTTATTTCATTAAAATGTTATCTGAAAATTATTATACTATATGTTCTTTTGAACGGTCATTTGACATATATTTCAATATGTTTGTTACCTTGTTAACCTAGTGTTGAAGAGTTTTAATCAAGTGTATGGTCATTCAACCGGCACGAACCCCGCATACTTATCACAACGCAATGACCACATACTCAGTTTAATTAAGATTATGGGTAAAGTGAAATTCAATTAGAGTAATAATTGTAGTTCTCTTCAATGATACTTCTTCTTGGTACCGTAGGATTTCATGTACCCTCATTTTCAAATGGCACCTTTATTTTGTAAGTTATGTAATCAAATTCTTAAATGGTTGTGGTTTTTTTAACATTATGTGCGGCTTGAAAGTTCTAATCAATTAATTGTCTCCGTAACAAGTTATATTTAATATTGTCTTTTTACCATATGGCAAATTATTGGCATATTTGCTTCTCCTCAAAGTAATTTTATCTTGTTGAGTGAGACTCCATGCAACTTAACTGTTCTTTTCCTGTTATGTATTTGGCAGACTAGAACTTTAGTTCACCTCTTCTGATATCGACATTGAGAAATTTCGCTTCCACATCTTTCTCAATATCTATCAAAAATTTATTGTTTCCTTTCATCTTAACACATGAATACCCTTTATAAGTCTAACAGTTCGTTTTTCCTTTTCTTTTTTTTCTTTTCCCGCTACACCGGCGTTCTGTTTCTTTGTCCATGCAAGGGAATAACCGCATTCCCATGTATGTATTCTTACTGTGCAAAATGATTAACACAATCCATCTAGTAAATGGAAGAAATATGATTTGAATTCCGAAGATGGAGGGTAGTTGATTTTTTGTGTTTCCTGCTCTTAAAAATCTGAAATCTACGGCTTTATTGAGATGAAGGCTTTTATGAAATGCTAACAAAGTTATTATGTTCAAAGTAAATACTAGCTTGTAAGTACAATAAAATAATGCTAAATGTTTGTGCAGAACTATGAAAAAGTTTTAAATCTAAAATTATATGCCAAGACATAAATGACGGGCAAGTGATAAAATGGTATATACGATGGAAAGTTTAGACGAAGGTCTCATAATATTGAAGTAACAGATATGTAATTCGTATGCAGCAATTGGTGTGCTAGCTTTTATCTTCTATCTCCAACTATAAATATATACAGGACTTGATAATGTGCATGCTTTATTTACCAGGGTTATTATTTATCTTCTAAATCTTCACAGTCGTCAAGACAGTATACTGCCACTTCAAATGATATCGATACATATGAAATATACTCAATTCATCACAGTTTAACTTGGAAAAGTCAGTTTTTGTTGCACAACCTTTATATAAAATAATATAGAAGAAAGAAAACATTATTTTACAAATTTATTAGAAATATTCGTTGTTAAAACCCTTAAATATTATTTATAGAAAAGATATATATATATATATATATGTAAAATAAAAAATTTATATATATATAAAGGTATATATAGATGTAGATATGTAAAATAAAAACTTTATACATCTATGTAAATCAGCTTTACAATTTAATTTACAAATAGCTTTTTAATTCTTCATTTTTAATTTGGTTATTTCCTTTTTATTCTAAAGATAATAATAACATTTCTGGACTGCGTCCTTTCTAGATTAATCTACGCCACAAAACTTGCGTAAAGCTGCTGACGTAGTTATTTCGAAACCTAAACTCTTGAGAAACGAAACCTTTGTAAACCAAAATGAGCTGCCATATTGGATAAATGCGTCACTTTTAACTTGAACTTCTGTGCTGCTTGAACGCTGAATCGTTGTGCTCTCTTTCTATCGCAATAGTATTAAAAATATAAATGTCCAGGAAATAAGCACCGCTAGAGTGCTAGTACGAATTGATTGTGGCTGTAAATGTCAATTTAAAATAAAATGGAATTTAATCTTACTCGACTGACAGATTTCCTCTTCAGTATGGACGCCGAAGAACATTGCTACGGTTCTACGTCTCAGTGTTCTATATATATATATATATAATTTTTTTCTAGGGGCGAGCTCTAACCTATAGGCGTTGGCCTAAACTAAAGTCAGAAGCGGAGGTCTCTTTATTATGGAGGCAAATAATAGGTGGACCACTGGTGCCTCCTATGAAAGACGGAAAAATTACATCCATGTCCTCTCTGGTATTCGAACTCGTGCCCTTTGGTATAGCAGTCAGTGTCGTTAACCACTTACCCATATATTTTGCAGAGAAGATATTAATAAACCTAAAATAACCTAATTATAAAACAGGCATTGGGTTGCAAAGCGCCTGATAAAGACTCATACAACCTGTCTAATTCTTTTTGAAATGTGCAAAATAATTACATTTTTATATTGTTAACAAAATGCTTTCATCACGCAGTCTGATGCACGAAATAATAACAATCGTTCATTTATATTTAATTTAAAAAGGAATAGACAAGTATTGAAATTTAAAATCTGTCCTATATCTGCAATATCCAAGTCTGTAGTTTCGTTACACATGACAAAGGAAACTGATCAAATTTATCAATGAAATCATTACACAGTTTCAAAAGCATCTACGTTGACCTTACTGTCCCAGAAAGCCGATCAATGAAAAGATTTGGCCAACCGCTAAATTTGTTTTTGATCTCTATTTGGGGGCATCGGCTTAACGTAATCCCTGTACTGAGGCTGGAATAAATCTCTTATCTTCACGTGTATGTCTTGTATTAAGGGCTTATTCTCTTCCCTATATTTTAACTTCATTTTAGGTTTCTCTTGATAGTTGAAGTACCCATGTATTGAAAGAATTAAATGCAGCTGAGAGGCACGCATTTCTTTATCACGCATGTACTCCTTTTAGTAAGCTTTACGTGCTTTGCCATATCAGACTGAAACATGAAACATACCTCTTTATATAGTTGCTTTGATAATTTTAGAAATTTACTAAACTAGAGAGAAAATACGTTCTGTGATACTTAAATACCGTATGAATGAAAACCTTGAAGCTTCTGATTCCACTATAACACCAGATAGGCAATTATTTTAATTATTGTTTAGTCGAAAGTCTGAAGCTTTATTTCTTTTATTACTTCTTGTATTCTGCCTTATATAGCTGTAAGATAACTTTATAATCTTTCGTGCGAGTACCTGTTTTTATACTATAGTTATAAATATGTGATCGATAATAGTCCTTAATTCCATTAATATATATAGTGTTCCAAAGCGATTCCTACTATCCAGAGCTATATCGGAATGTTTCTGCAGCAAATATTGTCATTATGCAAGTAAAACCTTTAACTGAAATCTCCGACGAAGGCTGTAAAGGCTTCGAAACTCTAAACCACTCTGCAATCGTTGCAAAACTGTCGAGAATTCATTAGGACTATGCAAAAACTTTAATATCGCAAATTGGAGAAGGAATTCATTGGAAAAGACACAAAAACTCATTCTACAATGGATTTTGTGTGGGATGTAATATTACCAAAGCAAAGCCTATGAAAGTCACGAATGAAACATAAAATTTTTACTTCATTGCTTGCTTCGAGCAACCTACAAACAAACTAACTGCGTTTCTGCATAACCGAGTAACTACATTTGTAGACTATTGTCATTGATTAAAATGTGAGTCTTCGATCTATACGCATTAATTTCTTAATTGCTATCTTCCAGTTTCATTACTTTCATTCGTGACAATGCTAATTTTGAATTTGTTTTCAGTTGCTTACCATAATACTAATCTTAGTTATACGCTTTATGGATTTGCAAAAACTTTTATTAGCACTCATATTAATCACTAAATTTGTATAACTCATAAATTTATGAATATTTTTCCGAGGCAATTTTATATTACAGAAATGGTGTTTCTTGGTTTTTAGAAGGATAAATGGCAACAGAAGCTTTCTATGTAGAGATAGGTATAAATAAGATTTTTAAAAGGTTCTCGATACCACAAGTGTCTCAATCTAAAAGTGTGCATTATTTGAATCATTTCAAAAACTGTAACTATTGGTATACAACTAACCATTCAAAAAATGTTTAGTGGGAGAGACCTTTTAGAGAAAACTTTTATACAAATACGTCTTTAAATTCTATTATCACAAATCCTATATTTTTGCGTTTTTCTTCTTTCTAGGAGTGAACAACTATTAAACTTCAATTGGTGTTGCTCATAGTTGTATTCAATAGCTCATAGTTGAATTCAACGCAACAACCAGGAAAATTCCATGCAGAATCAGGTATTGATTTCAGTGACTTATTTTTCTGCCTCGAAATCAGAATGATCTAGCATGAATTTTTAAACGAGACAAAATTATATTTTATGCATTCAGATTTAATGTTCAAAATATAATCTGTTGCTATAAAAAAGATAATTAACTTTATATCTAACTCGTTATAAATTTATTTCAAACAAAATTTGGAGTTTCTTGCCTAAACGTATTAAGAGTGCTTAAAAATAATTGCTGTAAGGAAAAATTTTCAAATTTGAGAAGAAATATAAAATGTGAATTCAATGTACACTTATTTATGTTTTATACTGTTATTAAACACAACATTAGGAAAGACTAATTCATCCGATCGACCCTAATAATAATAATAATAATAATTGTATAATACTTAACTAATGGGACGTAAATGCACGTCATCACCAGGAGAGTATATACGGAAATAGTACGCAGTATTAACCTTTGGATGCAATAAAAGAAAAACGAAACGAGAACAGCTCTGAACCATTTCTTGGCTGCTCTTGAGTACAGACGGCTGCCAAGCAGACAGCCCAGGGAATACGTGCCATGGAAACAAGAATTTCTTGGCCATCTTCACACCTAAAACTACAGCTGCAAAATGCGATCAAAAATTCATGGCAAAAATGATTGGACGCTGTCAATACAGAGAGAACAGTCTACAACGTCTTCCCCAAAGTTAACTCTTCTCCGATTCATGTTAGCAGACAAATCACGTGGTTTATTTCGAGGCACGGCCCCTTCCCTAAGCATTTCTAAGGAAGGAATCCCTCTTCAACAGATTCCTACGCATGAAGGGAAACGGGATCACTCGAATATTATCTTTTTTCCCCTTGCGCGTTAATAAAGTCACTTCATCTAAAAAAACCAGATTCAGAAAGCAGTTTGTTTCCATTCCTAAGGTAGGTATGCAATTAAGGAATAAAATTATGAAGGTTATTAAGCTTTTGCTGCCAGAAATCAAGATCTATGCGGCGCAAATTATCAGCAACAAAAATGCTTCAGTAACAGCGAAACATAGCAATTAAACACAGATAGAATATTCGAAGTTGCAACTCCAGAATAAAGCACTGCCAACAACATTAAGCAGGATATAAAGCATTCGCAAGTGTGCAAAGGGCTAAGCTTATGTATCTCTAAGCAACGAATGCTCAGGTGTTATGAAAATGCAATCAATTCGCACGCAGTTAAATGCCATGCCGCACCAGTTCAAACAGGCGAACATATTACTTGAACAATTGCGTCATGTGTTCCTGTTATAACCATTGCGTGTATGCAATGTTTAATGTGTAATCTAGGCAGCGATGTAAATGATCCACCTGCCCAAGTCCCCAAGTCCGAAGATAAAACGGGGCAACTAATGACATCTCTAGCGATGGCAGTGCTTGCGATATCGGTTGCAGCGAACAACATTAGTGCCTCGTTAACAGAATGGCACTGTGTGCCCGAGGAAGGCAGTGTTAATCTGGAAAGATAGCGTAAAGGGTTTTTAATAATAATACTCAGGATAAATAATAGGTGACCCCTGAACTTATACCTAACGTAACCTAATACAGACAGCTTAAATACTCCTCGTCGAAGAACAAGACAGACATTGCAGAATATTTTCTGATTTTCGTTGATAATAAAAAAACTATGTAAATTGCAGATCATTCTATCGGAAATCTCAATACTCGTGTCGGACGGAATGTTACTATAACGACGAGTTTACCCGATGGATCGAATCGAGCCGAGGCAAAGTGACATGTAAAAGATTGCTACTGCAACGTGATGCCTCCAAACGAAAGGCCAAACATTTTGCATGATTGGGTATTAAGAATGATGTAGTGTCATAAATTTTAGCCCTACAGTTAGGATGTATTTCTCAGAAAATATTCTACGCATGCACGGCTCACTGTCGTAAGCAAATCTGGGAATTATTTCAAGACGCTTATACCTGTTATGACCCGCTATGCGTTGCCATAGCAATAAATAGATGAATGCCTGCGTTAATTACGACCATACCGGTCCGGTACATGGAATATCAATGAACATCGTGCTTAGTATGAATTCTTTATGAGTTGAACAAACACAGTTGTAGCTCTGTGTCCCTTGGAAATGTAAGTAGTAATCTAAAGGTCCAATACTTTTGGTAAGATTTCGTTGAAGACATTTTTAATTTCGAAACGCATAACGTTTAGAATTACTAAATAACTATGAAAAAAGAATTCCACGTTAATTCCTTATTATCATTCACCTTTTGAATTGAAAAATACTTTATAACTTTTCGAAAATATTTTTCAAAATTAACCACAAACGGCAATTCAATTAATTCAGCAGCAAATTCATTTTAGGCGCAGTTTTCATTATCATGAGCATTCTACTTGCGCATGAATCTCACATAAAGAGACTGCATTATAAGGCAGATAAATGGGCCTTTTATTGTAGTCTATAAACCATAAAATTCCCATATAATTGTTTTAGAGCAGTTCGTTTAATAAAGCACTTTTATTCATCACACTGACCTTAATGGTTTATCTCCAGTGCTTAACTTAGCCGAATGGATTAGCTCGTAGTACTAAATATATTTACTTGACATTTAAAATCTCATTTATTTTTCTCATTTACAAAACTTCATTACAAACATCATTGTGCGACCTCAAGTACCTCTTTCATCGTCCTACTTCAGTCTATTTCTAACAAGGACCTATCAAGTCAAGGGCCTCCCAGAATGGCATTTTTGTTCATATGCTGGCATAAATCAACACATTCATCACTTTCACTGTACTTGTCATTTAAAAAAATGGTTATTTTCCTTCTTCTTCATCTTACGCATCACACAACGTAATTAAGATGAATGATTAAACGTTTTTTCACAGACAGCTCTTTACATGGTCTTGAGAAAGAACTTCGAGACCATGTTAGAAGTTTTTTATTTATTTACTTAATTTTTCAGATATAGAAAATTTAAATTTGAGTTGTTTTCATCATTATTGTAAAACATAGCGTGCCAATGCGAATTAATGAGTTAGCATATAAGAGAGAAAAGGTCGATCGAACGGGTAAGAATATTTCAAATACATTCTTTCATTTTATATAGCTGTAAACATAATGAAAAGTTATAGAATCAGTAAGAAATTTGATGTTTGAGACGTAAAAAATATGGAATGTTATCACCGGGACTCGAACACTGGACCTCTCGAATGCACGTCGAGTACAATACCAATTACACCATGAAGGCATGAAGAAAGAAGGGATAAAATACCTTGTCAAGTCATTAGGCTTTTTTCCTTTTTTTTACGCTGGAAACTTGAAAAATGAGCAATGCTCTCGACGGGACTTGAATCTACCTCTCGAATACATGCCGAGTGTGCTACCTTTACACCACGAAGGCATGTTGGAAGGAGATAGAAAACACCTTAAATGCTGCTCCTCTTAAGGGCCGTTCCCACTGGGGTTTATCTGAGCTAACGGAGTGAGTTCCATATGTGACTAGCTCCGCTGTGCCTGCACTTCAGATTTTCAACTTGCTGCCCTATGGAAAAAAACTGGTTTTGGAGATGAGTCGGCTACGTCAGTTGTGTTCGTAATCTCAGATAAATCCCGGTGGTAACGGCCCTTTAAAGGGGCTGCTGGGGATTAGCGTCCCTAATTGGCCATTCTTGGTGGTCACGAATTATCGTTCACCACCTTTTATTTCGGGCGTTATCCGTAGTATCCGCAGAGTCATTAGGTTTTTTTCACGTTTTTGAAAAAGTGAAAAAGGAGCAATGTTCTCCAGGGACTCTAACCTGGCCTTCTCGAATACGCGCTGAGTGTGCTTCCGTTACACCGCGAAGACATGCTGGAAGGAGGGAGAAAATACCTTACAAGCTTATGTACTTTCCCTTATGTACTTCCCCTGGGGATTAGGGGACTCAATTGCTAAATCCTGGTGGTGGCGAATTACCGTCCTTTACCTTTTAGTTCGTACGCCACTTGTAAAGTCAGAGGGTTTGTTGGTGCTTTAGAAGTAAAAAATGTACAGTGCCCTCGACGGGATCTCCCGAACACTCTTCGAGTATGCTTCTAATTATATCACGAAAGCATGCGGAAAGGAGAGAGAAAATACTTTATAAAGTGTTACTTTAGGCAAATATTGTATGAAACATTTCGTGGAATTAAATCGAAAGAAATCAGCCACCCGATCGTTATGAGTATAATTGATGTCTATTCAAGTTTCGGAGCAACGATATTCGAACCCTAGTAAGGCATAGATAATTGTCACACTATAATGCCTCTGAGGAACTGAGGCTTTTAAATTTAATCGTAAGTGGCTGGTTGTTTCCAACCACTTCCTTCGTAAGAAATCTTCGTATTCATTCTACTATGCTGGTTTGGGAGATGGTCTGCATCTTTGGCGACCATTTGGCGATATGATGTCACTTATCTCACATGTCTGACAGTAACTTCAGAACAAGCCCACGAAATTCATCGTGTCAAGGAGTGCAAGATTGCGCCTGTCGTTGGTAAGAGCCTTGGGCACATACAGGGGATAGTACGACTTCGCTCACTTCCGCTTCCAGTTTTGATGGATAGCATCCCAGACGGACGGATCCGAAGATCTCCCACCTCTCTCTCTGCCACCAACTAGTCGAGATGACTTTCGGCTCCCTGCATATTTAGAATGTTCTCATGCTGCTCGGGTACTAAACCAACATCCATGACTTCTCCGGAATTCTAACCCGGGGGCTTCTGTCCTCAGTAGGCTTCCCTAATCACTATAGCGTCTGGTCGGCCCATTTGGCGATATTTTGTTTCGATCTCTGTATAACTGTAATGCGTATTGTAACTGAATAACTTTAATTGATGTTATATGTGGCTGGTATCGTATTCGACGCTCTTATGTCTTGCAGCAATTTCGAGAAGTACTAGAGATTTCTTGGCGGGTTTGAAAAAATGTATAAGACCGGAAGAAGCACGAATTTACTAGCAATTGGTTTTCTTCAGAGAGGATTTTTTTTTCTCTTTAGATG